TCTTTGCCCATTCTATGTAAAAACATAAAACAGAAAATGTAAAAACATATATATGCTTATTATAGTTATCGCTTGAAAAATTTAACGACATACAATGAATTACAATGGATGGATAGTGATTATATACACAGCTACACCAGTATTTATCAACACATTCGATGCTGCATTCAATTACATGAAAGAATAAGATTGTTGGTGTGATAATATTTTAAGAGAGTAGCACCTCTGTTATATTTACAAATATACATTTTTAAATATCTACTTGTTATTAAAACTATATTTTAATACTAACAATGTTTAACATATAGGTTTATAGAGGTGATGGAATCTACTATAATGCTATTTCTCCTCTTTGATATTGGATCTGGGCTTATAATGCACATATCTTCATGCGTAATGGTAAGTGTGCGGGCACTTTTTTTAAAGTTTTGAAATTAAAATTTTAAATCCACTATAATATTATTCCTGAAAATTATTCTTTCATTGTCATTGCTGAAAATTTTGTTAATATCAATTTTTTCTCACTTATTCCCGCAGTTTGTTATTCAAATGAATCAATCATCTAAAATTCTACAATACGTAGCTCTCGTGATGCTGCAAAGTGGTCGATTATTTTTTAACAGTTGGACCGGACAAGAAGTGACCGATCACAGCCTGGAAGTTTCGACAGCAGCGTAAGATATTTAACTATTCAAAATATAAGAATATAAGAAAAAATATTTTTTTACGAAAAAATATCCTTTTACAGTTATGATGGATTATGGTACAATGTACCCACAAAGGCTCAAAAGTTACTGAAGTTATTGATTGCCAGAAGCCAGAAAGCTAGTCGAATAACTATTGCAAAATTATATGTTATTAACCTGGAAGGTTTTAATACTGTAAGGATTCAGAAATGTGGCATGCAATAATATAAAAATATTAGTATATCTGTGCACTGACAAAAAAATGACAATTTTTTACATGTACATAAACATTTAAGGTAATGAGAACATCAGTTTCCTATTGCACAGTTATGATCTCCCTGCGGGACTCGTCAAAGAATACGTAAAAATTATTGAAAGACGTTTGTATCGCATGTGATTTCTAGTCTTTAGTATACCAAAAACTCAGATGTTGATGTAGAAAAGATGTAGAAAACTATACATATCTGCAATAAATGCTAAAATAGATTTATAAAAAATTATGAATAATTTATTTGTGTATCAATATTATCTTTATCATAATATTATGCATTATAAAAACATAATAAATCTTGTTGAAATGACACATTTCATTCTAGACATTGTATTTCGCAATATGCACTTATTATACTATACTATTCTAATACCTACACTATTCTAATAAAAATACAGAAGTTATTCATGTTACTAATTGTTAGAAGTCAGAAAGCCTCCCGAATAACAATCGCAAAGTTATATGTCATCAATTAGGAAGGTTTCAACATGGTATGAACATGGAAGTGTCATTCCTAACAAAAATAAATTCGGAATGTAAATAATATAAAGGGAGAAATATGGCAGAAGTATGAATGAATCCTTTAAAAGCGTAAGTTGGAACATCAGAATGTGAAAAGAAACGTTTTATTTTGTAAAATGCTTTTTTTTTCACGTTTTGTTGTTCCAATTTATGCTTCCTAAAAGATTATGTTCACTGTTGCTTTCTGTTGCTTTGTCTTACGTTACGTTTACATCCCGGGTCTTTATTTTCTAAAAGTGCAGTAATGTAGAAACATTCGCATAATCATACACTGCACTAATGGAAAAAAAATATGTTGTATACAGTAAAGTATATTTTAAGGTAATGAGAACATCAGTTTCTTATTGTACAGTAATGATTTCATTGCGCGAATCATAGGATGCGTAAATTCTTCTATCTAGGAAATTTCCAATGCTATATTTTTTCTAGACTTTCATATATCAATAATTTAAATTCTTCTATATAAATATATTATCTATATTTGCAATAAATATCGACTTACATAAAATATTTCGGACTCTTCTAATAATACATAAATTACGCTTGTATTACCTATAAGTCGTATGTATATTACAAATTACACAATATAGTAAGTCTTACGGAAACAATACTATACTATACTATACTATACTATATTATACTATACTATACTATACACTGTGCATTTCGCTATGCACTTATTACACTATACATGAATATCTATCATTAAATTGTAAAATATTTTCTTGTTAAGAAAGAAATATTACTTGCTAATCATAAATTCTCTCTATTGTCTATAGTCTAAATTCTCTTTATTCTCTATAGTGTTGTGAACGTTAAATAACTATTTTATATACGCATAGATCTAGCAGAATATTTAAACAACTATAGACCGACTGGTAAAGACTCAATGAATGCTAACATAATACAAATGCAAACGTCAAAGTAGAGATATGGATTTCTTTGACACGCGATATTTTAAGTTTAATAAATTCTTCCTGACTTCCACGGGCGTGTGGCCATATCAAACGCCATTCACAAAACTCTTAGGTCTGTCGCTTACACTGTATAGCATTAC